CACAAAATATTTGATTTAGCGGAGAATAAGGAAAACAGGTAGGAACGATTGTTCAAGTTTAATCACAGTATTTGGACGGCTATTGTTTTTAGCAACAATTACTAGATTTGTTCAAATCCTACTCAGGTAAAAGCGCTATAGAAATTTTGCCACGAAAAGTTTTTCCCAATTTTAACTAGTCTCCGGTAATCTTTGCTTGATGTTTCTCGATCTCTTTCACAGTTCTGGTTGAGAGACAAACAAAAATAGGGTTTTTTCACAAGTCGAGATGAAGTTCTTATGAAGCAAAAATTGAGTTGAAAAACCACTACAGTTCTTTATTACAAATTCGGACGTCGCACATAGTACAAGGCAAGGTTAGTGGTTCACCGATAATATGTCTAGGTTTTATCATGTAAAAAAGATACCAGTTTTTATAAGCCATATCTCATTTAAAATATAGAACCGCTGCAATGGTGGCTTATTCTCTCACAGTAGATTACGGCTCAAACCTGTACTTGGAAAGGGGTAAAAGAGTCGAAGAATTTATCTGCCAAATTCTCGGTAATCAGCCGATTGAGTTAAAATGTAATTAACTTCAGTTAACAAGATGCACATTTTTGTTATAATAATCGTGAGCTCAGGATGTTCAGTAAACTGAGACCTTGACTGGAGGGTCTGGAAACTCAGAATGGTAGACGGCGTTTCATCTGTTCTACTTTTACTGGTACCTGTGACTTAAAGTGTAAAGGATTCAGTTCTCGACAACACTGATGCAAACTGTTGATTGCTTCTGCGCTTTTTATTAGCTGTTTCAACTTTTTAGAAAACTGTTTTCAGATAGCTGTTTTAATTGATAATATCGAAGGCCGGTTTAATGTGCTTGAAAACAGTTAATTTTTTGTCCGGAATTATCATATTATCATACGTAGGTGAGTACTGTGGCAGCGTTTCGAATGAACAGTTACAGTATGCGTCGTGTCTGCTCCGCTGTGGTATAAAGGTTTGAATATTTGCAGTCGTCTAATAAAAATCTGTAAATTTCACTGGAAAGCATGTCACTGTATTGCTTTCAGTACGGAGTGTGGACAGAAAGATTACTGCTCAATGGTGACGTCGATACGAGCATCTTCACTCCTTCTGGAAGAAATGACTTTATAATGGTAGTTTTCACACTACGCTTTTCTATCAGTAGTCGGTGTACAGAGAAAAAATGTGTTTAAGAATAAGATTTTTTAGTGCAAAGTGGGCTGCAATCTACCAAATTTTAATGAAAATTTTTCGTTACCTTTCAGTGTAGGACAACAATTCTTCTTGAGTAGCTCTAATCAAGGTTGGTATATGTTTCATTTATTTTCTTATTTTAATATCGATTAGTACATTGTTATTAATCTTACATTGTAGGAGAGTTATTCAAACCAGCTCATGCTGTTGAGATTTTTTGTCGCGACGTTTTCTCCAGTTCTTCTGGCACCACTGCGAATATCAGTGTCAGTATTACGGTGGATAAAGCTAGAGAAACCTTGTATATAATTGAAGTCATTGGCGCTGCTCATGAAGATAATCCTATGAAGGAGCGAGTCGTAAGCGTCGAATACGTAAGAAGTTTCTTCATTTTACTGTGAAAGTCATTACTTCTTTTAAATGAATTATTTCGTATGCATTTAGTCATTCCATCGCGAAATTACCTTCCAGCTGAGCGAAACAGAGGGTATTTATTACTACAGGATAGAGGTCACTGTGCTTAATTTATTAGGCGTTTCATCAAGCTCTGTGGAGAGTCGTTGGTATTCGTCGAAAGAGTTGTTTTCTCGCATGGTCCCACTTCTGCACTTGTTTGTTCTTTCGGAGGTATTAATTAACAACTTCTGATGCGATCGGATAACCCTGCGGTTTCCTTCGTATCTGTTGATGATGTAAAGAAAAGGAACCGGAGTTTCTCATGATAAATGCACTTGTTTTTCAGCATTTAGAAACTGGATTTCCTGCTGTCGTATTTGGTTGGAAGGTCGACAAACTAAATTTACCATTCTGTTCGTTAATGGCTAAGTGGGTGGCAGACGGCTCGTCTGGACCTCCTGGTCAACTTTCTTTTGCTGTGGTAAGCATTTTTAAAAAGCAGTTGTTGAGACTCCATAGATGCATTTCTTGGTTTTGTAAAAGAACTGCTTACCTAAAGTTTTTGAAAAGTTTATGGTTTATCTAACTTATTTATTGTGTTCCTGTTCTGCATAGAGTTCCTGGCCTTTAGCCTTACTAGGCCGTTAAACTTATGCAAATGTAAATTTTACGATTTTCATAGGACCGAACAACTTCATTTACGTTGTATGGGTTGCGATTTATGCACGATTATACAATAGTTCTTTTTTCACAACCTAAAATCGGTTTTGATGTTCTGAGTGAAAAATTTCATTTTCGGACTTCACATTGTGAAACTTTGACGGATGATATTTCTCTTTGTCGTAAGTATCTTTCGACTTTTAATTTTTCTTTTCAGTGTTTTGCCAGTGAAAATTGCTTTTTTACAGCACCTCCTTCTCCTACTGGTATTGAATGGCGTCAGAAAGACGAGTCTAAGGCATTCATTGGATGGAACTACGACTTCAGTAAAAACATCTCCCTCAGGTATTTTGAAGTAATCGTGTCGTCTATTCCTTCAAAAGACAATGACAGCTGCACTGATCTGAAAAGAGTGAAACTTCATGTGCCATCGGTGAGTGGTTTTCACACCTCGTGTTTTTGACCTTCACTGGCTTTCACTTGACCATTTTTTTGTGGTGTGATGTCATCGGTCACTTCACTATGTTTGAAATAACCATAATTAGTTGAAGTGTGAGAGTTTTAGAGAGTTCGTTCAGTTCAAGTGGATATACCAGAATTCTGCTGTAGTTATACAGTTCGAATTACGGCTGTCGATCAAAATTTTGCACAGTCAGATGTGGCTCAGCATAACACTGTTGGCTGCGTAGATAAGAAGCTGTATACCCTGGGGCTTCTTGTAAGCTTTATAAATCCTCGTTTTTATCACTCATTTTGATCTCTCAAACGATTTCTTTATACTGCCCGGTACCCACACACTAAAACCTTTTTCATATGGCATTTCCTCCTGAAGTTCAAAAATTTTTCAGGTTTTTATTGTCACCGTTGTGTTTATATCCTACTGGACATTTTTCCTGTTACGGCAGTTCTCCACAGCTGGTTGTTGTTCGTGTGAGAAGCAAATTGGCAAGTTGTTTCACAATACTTCCATTTCTTGAAAAATAAAGTTGTTCTGTAGGAGCATTTGTCTCTAATTTGTTTTTTCAAAATATAATTTTTCCTGTGTAGTGGAAACATTCAGATGACGTTCATTTATGATTTCGTAGGCCTAACGCTACTTTTCGCGTTAAAACTCTTCAATATCTAGATTGGTTTTTAAGAAAAGTCTTGCTGTGGGAAAAACTATCGGAGTTTACCGGCTTATATACTTCCTAAGAAGTTTCAAGACAACCAGCTATATTACTCGCAGAACTCAGTGAGTATCAGTTCTCTGTGAAGCAGCTTGTGGTCATTTTTTTAATTCCTATTTTCTGTGAAGTAGGGTTTGTACAAAAGTTGTCTAAAATGTTTAAAAACATTTCAAACTGCTTGGTTTCTTGAGCACCAACTTCTTTTCAATTTTGTTGTAGAGCTTTTTCGACGACTACGGCTGGACTCGAGGTTTCCAAGAAACATCAAGCGGTAATTTTTTTGAAGACGTAGTTTTTATCTACTATTTTTTTATTGATGGAAAGAACATTTCATCCGAAGATTGCTGTAGTCTTTGCTAGAAAGTTTTAGCGTCAATATAGTTTTTTTTGTGGTTCTGAAGTTGTGTTGAAAAGATCATAGAGTGGATAAGAAACAAGAGGAAGCGAAGCAGATTTGAAATTTGCAGCTTGTCAAGTTTATCTATGTAAAGGTAGTTAAATGTCTATGTAAAGGTAAGAACAAATGATGCTGTTGAGGTATTTTAAACTAAGCTTCAAGCTTTAAAGTCTGGGAAGTGATAATGAGAATCACTCGCGCAGAGATATCTTTTTCCAAGAGAATGAATTATCAGTTTTCATGAAATATCATGTTGTGCATTAACGCACAGAAGCAACAAAACTTGTTGGTTTTAGGTATCGTACATCAGGCAGAACACGAAAACGTTTCGCCTCTGGTCACCCTTCCGGAAGGGCAGTCAGCATCATGCTCTCCAGTTAGGTTTTTCGTGAGTAGTTTGTAGCAAACTGCCGTGTAATTCCTATAAAACTGGCTCTACCTTTTGTTTTCTTTTTAGTTTATATTTGCGGAAACCGTGAAACATTTATTTCAAGTTAATGATCTGTTCATTCAACAGGATACTTATTAAATAACTGCAAAGTTTCAGTTCTCTAATCGTCTGGTACCACTTAGTTCAGTCAGCGTGCCAGAGCTTTCTCCGTGTGTGCTACCGGAAGAAATCATTGTCGTTTCATCAGACGTTTTTATGCCCTCGCTGAGCCTTGATGACTTTAAGTCACATCCTAAGTAGGTAAAGTCCTGCTTTGTTATTTTAACAGGATTATATGTAAACAAAATTTATGTTTTTAGTGCAAAAAAAATAAAATTTGTTTCGACAAACGAAGTTTCATTTCAAGAGGAACTTGGAAGTGGTAGTTTTGGCCAAGTTGTTCATGCGATCGTTACTGGGATGAATGTAGCTATTAAAGTTGGTATGTTGAGTGTTCAGGTTTCTCCATCTTTTTAATTAAAACCTTAATATATGCAGTGAAATTGGAAATGTAACAATATACTTCTTCTCTACAGCACACAATAAAATGGCTTTTCGCTCTCGGGACCAAAAAATTTTTCTTGACGAAGCAAGAGTGTGTCTTGATTTGTGTACTTCGAAGCACAAATTTATAACTCAAATTCAAGCAATTATTTGTGACGGCATAGGCATGAAGAAAGTAAGGTTTATTGGATGCCTTCTGTGATTATTAATGGGGTATAAAGTTTGTAAATACGGTCTTACCTTAATGGTCTTAAGAAATTTTTTGTTTTTGAATAATCTACTTTCTCAAAATCTAGTATTTTTCTCGCTACTTTGCGGAGATTGTACAGGCAAAAGTGCAGTGTAATATTCGTTCTGTTTAGGTTTGTGGGTTGGCCTTTGAATATTGTGGTGGTGGCAATTTAAAATCTTTCTTAAAAAAGTCGAAGGAGGCTTTATATGGTACCGTTAGTGCAACAGCTTGGAGTCCGTTGGTTAGTGGTTGCCTGTATTGTAATTACCTTTTTAAAATTATGAATATGTGAAGTTAGGTGAAATTGAAATTTTGTTATACGAGAAATTACAAGACATTTGGTTGTTGTGGTTGAGTGTACGCCTTTTGATGCAGTGTTCGTAAACAAAGTACGAGTTTGAAATAGTCATTTAAGAAGGGGGATGATGCCGAGGAGAGAACTATTGACCCTGCCGAATCGTACATAAGATTTGTAGAAGAACTTGAGAGCTATGCCCAGCAAACTGCAGCAGCTATGGTAGAATTTATTTTTGGGAACTTTTTTCTTTATGCCGTCCACAGTGGTTAAACTCGAAATAAATTTTCTTTTTTGGGGCTGAAGTCGATAAAAATATTCCATTTTAATTTTACATAAGTTCACAGCTTTATAGGAATACATTAGGGAACATCAATTTGTTCATCGCGATATTGCAGCTAGAAACATCCTCTTAAAGTACGAGTACAGTAATATATTCAACTTCCCGCGCGGACAGCACGTCAAAATTGCAGATTTTGGTTCTGTTAAGTTTATCCAGTTACTTATTTACAGATAATAAACTGCTGAAAAGCAAGGCCGTAACAACATAAAAAAGGATGCAAAAGAAATATTTCTCAGAGCCAATATTCCACTACTATAACGCAATTTACGTTAGAGACCAAAGACTTTAGAGCAACAGCGGATAGCCACACTTAGTGGCAAATAATTTTCAAATATTTAAAGTATAAAGGCCAAAAAAGCGTACTGGGGGAAATTCGCAGCTATGACTAGTAAACTAAAGGTTACGAAAATTATTGAGGTTTCGGAAAGGTCAGATGTGAAAACTGGAGAATGAAGAAGCAGGTGAAACATAAACTTCTAATGTGCGTGTAGTATAGAAGTTCCTAGACTTGTTTTGAAGACGTCTGGAAGAATAAGCTTGGGTAGAGGGGTGTCAAAACGGTGTCCAGAAGCTATATTTATGGTTCCTTCTAGGGTTCTTTCAAAATAAGATTCAGACCGACACATTTGCATTTATTTTACCTTTACGGTAGTGATATTCACTTGACTTATGCATCTAGTATTTATCGTGAAGATGGTTGTAGAAGTCGTAGAATGCTAATAAGTAATTAACGGCTGCAGGGTTCTTGGTGTAATATAACTTACAAATTGATGTAAGTTTTCAAGTTTATTTTGATAGCTGTTCTCTGTGGGTTGGACTGACATTTTAATCTTATAGGGCTTTGTCTTTATTTAAACAGATCAAATGCTACTGTACAGGATCATGAATGTCGCCTTCCTTTCAAATGGTTGCCATATGAATTTTTTACTGAAAACAAGTATGGTTTCGAGGGAGATGTGTGAGTTTTTTAATCATTTTCTAGACTAAATTCTTGGCTAGTAATGGTCACTGTTTAGGAAAGTGCCGATAGCATCTAAATTACTTATGCTGAATTTTGTAGTTGGGAGTATGGTTGTTTTTTAACGGAAATATTTACGCTTGGTGATGATCCGAGCATTGTAGTACAAATTGGCAACCAGACCCGTCCTCGCGATGATTTGGAGAAATATTTAGAAGGTCTTTCGTCTGGGTTTCCTTGGCTGTATGTTGAAGTTTATATGATTGTTCACTTTTTAGTTTTTTTAACACTGGATCAGTTTGCTTGTTCTTTACTGGAAGCATCGTCCAGTGCGTGAACTTTGCGACAATGTGGATTTGACAGACTTTTCAGTGACCGTTTATTTGGCCCTGAATTTCACCTGGTAATGAAGCAGGCGTTGGACATCAATGTAGAAACACGAAAAAATTTCAAAGAAATAAATGGAATGTTTCAAGATTTGTTATCGCGTCGATCACATTCCATAAATATATAGAAATATTTTACAGCTCGTTGAAAAGGTAGTGCCAAATAAGTATTTATAAACTAGTAAATGCTACAGTCCAATGAGGAGTTATTGTCAGTAAATATTTATAAATATGTAATTTCAATTTTATATAATGGTTTTTTATTTGCCTGGTTGTTTTAAT